TCCCCCCCCCCCCCCCCCGTCCAATTCTGCAATCAATCCCAAACTTCGGATTTAACAATCAATCGGGATGATCGTGGAACATGAAGTTTATGTATAGAGCTCGCCTCCTCACTCATTTTCAGATCATTTTCGAGACCGGATAATAGGGTACTTCAGGCAGTAGGTGTCCCGATACAGTGCCCGTATGTGTCCAGGCGATTTGACCGGCAATATACCGGGCACCGGCACTATTCAGAATTGTGCCTCAATAGTGCCAAGCCGGCACTATTCAGGGCCTGAAAATCCTTCTTAATAGTGCCGGCTTGGCACCATTCAGGACTGTTCGACTTCAGAGTGCAGCGCTTGCGCTTTGCTGGGCTGACAGAGTACCAAACGAACGGATTTGGATCAATCGTGCGGTGGGCGACGTGGGCGGGCTTCACGAAGTTTCGTGAGGCTCTTGGACTGTCGAAAACACGGCATCGGTCACATTAAAATTAACTTGATTGACCAGATGGATTTGTTGCACAGCAGTTGTTCTCTGCCACCTCAGCGCAAGCACTCGCCAAGGAAACGTTGCTACTGGCTTCAAACCGTAGACCGTGCTGCCCGATGAAAGTTCACCTCGCTATCAAATTGTTATGTGTTGTATTGCAAGAAGGCCGTAGCACTATTCAGGCAACAGAGGTACCCCTCGACAGCGAAAGGAAGACGCTCGCTCATGGACCCACCCGATGTACATTTGGAGGGCAAACATGGATGGATCTAGTGCTCGTTACATGAGCACACAAAAGCAGATGCCACCTAAAAGAAGGGTGAAGAAGATAACGAACTCCCCTGTTCCTTCGACAAAAGCTAGAGAGAAGACCAAGCCTTCAGAGGCAAGAAAAACGACTGGCCAACCAATAGACGTCAGCCTCAGTGCGGTCAAAAACAGGAAATATTTTTTTCTCGAGGGCGTGAGAGGGTGGCATGGAGGAGGAGGCTGAGCTATTCTCTGGATAAAAGACAAAAATAGTAGCAACAGAGATCGGAGAACTACGTGACTGCCAAGGCTTACTACTTTTCGAACACGCGTTCGTTTCGGAGTGTTTTCATCCTTCCTTAGAAGTATTTTATTTACTACTTCTACACTCTCGTAACTATTTTTTTTCCTCGGTTTTTCGGGCTTTCACCTCTAGATTCTGCGCCCCTGCGGCGTTTGTTGTGAGGAAGGTCGTCTTCCTCAAAACTCTTGTTGTTCCCCTCAACGCCATATTTTCCTCCTGCATCATCACTGCTATCCTTGGCTATATTTTCCATATCCTTCGTCACTAATGTACAGTATCACCATCTTCCTTTTCGCTCGCCTCACTACTGAAATCCCAGCCTGATGGTGGAGCCTGGTCGATCGGTAAAACGTGACATTTGAAGACGTCACGCGTACCGAGAGAAACCGAGCTATACTTGTAGCTCGAAGCGAAATCGTCTCCGAATCCTGTCGGCGTGGAAGGCTTGAGACGCAAAAAGGCTGTGTTTGGGGTGTGAACCGGCTCAATTGGCGTGATCGATAGTGCCTGAACCGGCACTCAGCGGGCAGCCCTGGATAGTGCCAAACCGGCACTATTCAGGCCTGTGTCTGTGTCGAGAAATTTTACCGGCACTGTACCGGACGTTGGCACTATTCAACCGGCACTATATCGGGACACCTACTGTACACGTTTCAAGTAGACCGGACGGACACCCCCACCAATCACTCTATATTCCGTCTTGAAGATGGGACATGATGAAGTCTAATTTGTCGCCGGGAGGCGCGAGTACTTCGCCGAGCGCGTTGTCGGAGGGGTATCGTTGGAGCCATTCGCACCTTGAAGCGGTGCATAATTGTTTACATTGGCGTGTGCCAACGCTTGTTGGAGGCCAATTGCATTGAGCCAGCACGATACGGCGGATTATTTGTGAAACAATACATAAGAGCAAGGTTCATCATAGACTACAGCAGTGTTCAGCGCAGCAAGTGTTCAGCGCAAGGGGTGGGGTGTGTGTTTGTGTGGAAGTGTGGGCGCCTGTGGTCGTAGTCATTGAGGTTCCACAAGACGCTGGTGCTGGTGCACTTTCTTGTCCAAAGAGCACAAGACGCGCACTGCTCTTTCCGTTTGGAAACCGCGTTGGTGCTTGTGGCCACCTCTCGCTAGTACGACCACCGCCGTGTAACGTGTAACGTCGGCGGATGTTTTTTTTTGTTGTTTTAAGATGCAACGAATCCATCTCTACTACTCTAACATAGGAAAGAGTCTTATGCATATGATAGCAACAATCCTTTGCGTCAGCGGAAGCTACCTGTACTTCCAGCAACCGACTTTACGGCTGCTGTTTGGTAAGCCATCTTGTGAAATGTATCTAGCTGTCTATCTGTCTGTCTGTATGTTCATTTTCATTATTCTCTTGTGTGGAACGTGCGAATCTAAACTTTGTTAGAAGTAGGGAAAAAAAAAAACAAGAGAGCGGTGATGGTGGGATGCAGCCCGGCGCGCCCTGGCGAACTTCCCTGCCGCTCCCAGCCGTTGGATTCTCCTTCTCCCATTGTTGTTGTTTGTTGTTGTTTTTCTTCACATTAAACTCGTGTCAGTTGCTAATCCCAAAATCTAGCAAAGACTCGGTCCGTGGTCACAAAAATGCTAGAGCCATCAGAAGATCTAAAGAACACACACACTATCAGCAAGAAAAGGGTACGCAAGCCCGAGGAGGTACACCTACAATCAATTCCTGCAGCACGTTTGCGTGCTCACAACTGAACTCCACGCCCACACACTACAATTCGACTACAGCAGCAGCATCACCCCCCTTGTCCCGCATTTAACCAAAATGAATGTTTGTCGACTACAGCGTACTGCTGTCTGAAGTGCTGTCTGTACAAAAACAACACCTGGTGCATGGTACACAAGCTCGGGGCATGCAGCTGCTGTCTGAAGTGCTGTCAGAATGAGCCGCCAGTGGACATACCATGAAGAAGAACGCCCAACCAGAGCCATCATTGCAATTGACAAATCACCCGAATCTATCCAGGTCATCTGTGTTAGGCACAGCAGTGTAAACATGGACACTGACTAGGAATCGTTCCACATTGAAGGGGTCTTCCACGATGCAGGCACACAATTAAGGCACCCGGGTTATCCGCGCCATCTCTGCCGCGTCTCTCTACAAAACCAGTGACGTCATCACACACACCCAACATCTGTTTTCGGGAAAAACACGGAAAATAATTGACTCGTCTAACACAAGAGATGTTTGTCTGTGCGCCACGGTTCGATGCCGTCCGCATGCTCCGGTTCCGCTGCTCCGGTGCCGCTGTGGCCAGTCCTAGCACGACCAAACTCGACCCGGTCCGCTTCGTACACGCTCTCGTTGCTGTCCTTCCCAGTCGGTTGCTCGCTTTCGCCCTCGTTGCACTTAGGGTTCTTGGTCTGGAAATTCTCGCGCCGAAGGGTCAACCAGCCCAATCAGCTCGTCACCACCTGTCCCCTCCTCCTTTGATGGCAAAACCAGGTTACTGAGGCAGTACAGCTCACTATAGCAAACCTAGGGCCGTGTACATACATAGTGCCCGTCCACCTTTCTGATGACGTCTGCCTCCGCGCACAAAGATGAGATGGGCATTGCTGCCTACACCGACGGCCTAGAGGCCCGCGCATTTGCACCTTTGTACCTGACGCACCAGTGCCGACCCAACTCCACCACTACGCACGCCTCGCGGCGGGTGCACCGCAGCAAGAAGGTATCGGTCCCTTGAGGGTGAGTCTAGCCCTGCTCGCTAGAAAGACCTCCCCCACTCCGCGCAAGGGGGATGATCGCACCACGTTGTGTTAAAATGGTCAAGCACCCTCGAGGCAGTTACACATTGCTTACAACTGTCTCTGGAAGTGAAAGCACCAGAAAGTAAACTAAGTCATACGCAGCTGTCATCCGTATGCAAGGAAGTAAGCACAAGATGCCGAACACCCTTAGCAGGATGCAGCGCACCCTTCATGCGACTCGCCGAATATCTCACGGCGCTTCGCGCTTGGTGATGTGAGAGCCTGGTCCGGTGAGAACCCGGCGTGCTCCGTCCCGGCTTTGTAGGGATGCGAGGTCAATGGTCTAACGACTACGGCATGCACGACTATGAGTACACCCCCCCCCCTCCGGTGTTTGCCTATCGGGATTGGGTTTTCGTCGCTTGGCAACGACGTTGTAAAACAAGCCATTTCACTTCGTGAACCCGGCAGCCAGGTTACCTTTTTTTTTTTTACCTCTGTTTTCTTTTTGGCGGTAAACATAATGGTGGTCGATTAGATCAGGTTGTGCGGGGTGGAGAACCTTCACTCCGCGCANGCGCTTGGTAATGTGAGAGCCTGGTCCGGTGAGAACCCGGCGTGCTCCGTCCCGGCTTTGTAGGGATGCGAGGTCAACGGTCTAACGACTACGGCATGCACGACTGTGAGTACACCCCCCCCTCGCTATGGGTCATGCCTACGCCAAACCCTGCCGAGGCAACGAGGGGAAGAAACAGACATGGATGAAGACGGAACAAAATCTCGCATTCAGGAGAAGTGCTCGACCGGCATACCGAAAATGGCCAGTGGAACTTCTTTACATGGAAATACTTCAATACTCCTCCGTTCATCCTTTGTGTGCACGGCTTACATGTGTCAACCGAGTGCGGGTTGCGTCGATATCCACATGGGGGGCGGGCGATGTACGTCCAACCTGGCATGCAAATCTGTGTATCTGTATGTAGAGAGCAGCAGCAGACCGCTCGTTTGTTTAGGATATTTTATCACGAATGAATGTGACAGCAGGAGGGGTGCTGACGACTTGGTCGAAAGCCGTGGTTGACAGGAATTTTCCAGAGGAAACTTCCTTGCTACACCACCAGAGTTGTAATAGCCCGAGAATACGCCGATAGGTAGGGAAGGGGCCCTATGATTTACCCCGATAAATGAACCGCTTCCTCAACCCCTTAGGGCTAGATCGCCTTTTGGGGACACTTTTTGTACCCATCTTCTTCACCCGCTTTACCTCGCGAAGGATGGCACGAATGTCTCCCCGTTTGAACTACTCGACCAGGGGGGTGCCAGGGTACACGGGGACGACTCTAGTTTAGTATGGATGCTTTGTAGAGTGGAGGAGTATGAGGGTAATGAACAGGTCGAATCGAGGGGCGACTACGCCGCGGGTTCAACAGCGAAGTTGCGCCGCGTCTGTCTGCCCTTGGGTGGAAAGCGCTACTAGGGGCAAGCGCGGAAGAAGTACCTATATAGCCCACCGTTGATAGGAGGCACCGGGCAACCCAGGACTTGGGTTAGAAGGTCTCGCTTTCCCTCTAGAAAAATATCTTGAAAACCTCCTTTTCGTGCCCCGTTTGTCACGCTCCCGCCAGTCGCTGTCTATTATCCCTATCAAATGTCCCCTCGATTCGAGGGGACATTTGATAGGGATTATAGACAAGAGACGGCTCAAGTGGGAAGGCAGCCTTGCACTTGCACCCAGGGATGGAATTGTCTGCATCATCCAATCAGCAGGCGTCGTCCGCTCTTTTTCTTACATTTCAGAAATGCCGCAAGAACGCCGAATTTTCTGTGCTTTTGTAAGGCACAGAAAATTCGGCGTTCTTGCGGCATTTCTGAAATGTAAGAAAAAGAGCGGACGACGCCTGCTGATTGGATGATGCAGACAATTCCATCCCTGGGTGCAAGTGCAAGGCTGCCTTCCCACTTGAGCCGTCTCTTGTCTATAATCCCTATCAAATGTCCCCTCGAATCGAGGGGACATTTGATAGGGATAATAGACAGCGACTGGCGGGAGCGTGA